TTATAATGTGAAGGATATCCTGGTTATTGATCTTTACACAAGGAATATATATGTCGAAAAGATATACACATACGTATAGTACCGCCTAACTTCAGCGTGAGATTTTGCATCGTGTACCCTAAAGTCTCAGCAGGCATCCTAGCCACTCGAGACATAGCCTCCGCAAGTAACAGACGAGCACAACAGAGACAAACATATGAGATATCAGTCTGGGAACATGCCGTACGAGGAAATTCTAGACTACGACGGACGAACGAACCATCATCAACACATAAATAACAAACACGCAGATAAACAGTGGTCATTTATACAAATAACATAAGACAGTTGGCGGTGCCAATTGCACTTCAAGCAGATAGAGACGACCATATTTATTTCAAGATGGTAGTAGCATCCGTTTTTATTGCCTATTTCCAATTCAGAAGTGTAGATACCGTGTGCTTTTCTCAATCGATTGTAAAGGGAAGCGTCTTTACTATCTGAAAGCTCGGACTTTATTAGCAGCCAACATGTTGTCTACGACCAGTCACCTTACAAAGCGACCTGCCAAAAGGACAGCAGCCATGTGTTCATTCTCACGGCTATAATCTGTACCTTTCATATGCAGCAACTTACCTACCAAAAGTGTGAGGAGTATAATTGTACCTCTCATTACCTACCAAAAGTGTGAGGAGTATAATCTGTACCTTTCATATACAGCAACTTAACTACCAAAAGTGTGAGGAGTATAATCTGTACCTTTCATATGCAGCAACTTACCTACCAAAAGTGTGAGGGGCCACTCGGCGAACATTCACCCTACACGCACAGCAAAACACACACACACGGCAGTCTAACCTGGACTACCAACTCACTAACTACTCACTGGTCTCTTCTCACTCCTAACTGTTCTCTTCGGGTTGTTTTTGAATCGTTAAAAACCTCTAAACCCTTAGGAAAGTCTTAATTCATCCTACACACTATTTACCCATCCTACACACAATTTATATATTCACCCCACACACTATCCATCCATCCTAAGCACTACACGACTACACGTGTCTGTCCTTTCACAGGTCCATGCGACCCGCATAGTCAAGCAAAGGGGTGTCAGGATGATTGCGAGCGCAAATGGCGACTTCCGCAAACTGCAAGCCAACACACAACTCAGTGGCCTGTTGGGCCGTACGGCTGATGTGATACTGCCAAAGGGTGTACACAAGACCTGCCGCGTAGAATCGCCTACGTTGGATTTGGTGGTGGAGTTGAAAGCAGGTGTGTGTGTTTCAAGCAACGGCTTTGGGCGTTCGTCTGAGTATGTAGATATATAACAAGAGATAATAACTTCGTGCATTTTTCTGAGTATGTAGATATATAGAGGGTGGCCTAGGTATTATCTTTGTGCCTTTGTCGGTGTATGTAGGTATGTAAAGGGTAAAATGTACAGGGTGACTGAAGTAACATCTTTGTACATTTTCCTGTGTATATAGGTATGTGAAGGGGTGACTGAGGTAGCATCGTTGTACATATGCCTGTGTATGTAGCTATATAAATGGTGACTTGTAAGATGACTGGGGTAACATTTTTGTGCAATCTTCTGTATATGTATGTATGTGAAGGGTGATTGGGGTAAAATCGTGGTACATTTTCCCGTGTATGCAGGTATGTGAAGGGTGACTGAGGTAACATTGTTGTGTATATGCCTGTGTATTTAGCTATGTAAATGGTGACTTGTAAAGCGACTTGGGTAACGTTTTGTGCAATCTTCTGTATCCGTATGTATTTAGGTATGTAAAGGGTGACTTAGGTACCATCCCTTTGCATTTTCTTGTGTATGTAGATATATAAAGATCTGCGTATTTGCCTGTGTATATATGTATGTGAAGGGTTATGGTGGGTTATGAGAGCTCAGATGTATGAGAGGTCAGATCTGGAATCAGTGTTGTGTCATGTGACATCGGTTTTATATATACCATTCATTGGTACATGTAGTAAAACATATATTTTCATTCCAAACCGTTCGTGAACTTGGAAGTTACTCATCAGTGTTGTGTGTCATGTGACATCGGTTTTATATATACCCTTCATCGGTATATGTTGTAAAACACCTATTTCTATTCCAAACCGTTAGTGAACTTGGTAAGTTCCTCACAATATATATAAGTACGTATATACATATTTACATACATGTATGTATGGATGTATATGTATATGTATATATCTATATCTGTATCTATGTAAATATATATATATATGTATTATATATATATATAAATATATATGTGTGTGTAGATATATATATGTTATTGTTATCATTACTATTTTGACTATATATGTATATAAATATGTAAATGCTTTATTTTAAAATATATATATTCAAATATATTATATTTGATATATATATATATATATGTGTGTGTGTGCGTGTTTGTGTGCGTGTATTTATGTGTTTGAGTGGGTGTGTGTGTTTGTGTGTGTGTGTATATACGAGTGTAAGTATTTATGCGTGTAAGTAAGTGTTTTTGTAGGTGTGGGTTGTATATGCAAATGTGTATATCCATTTTCAACTTGAAGGTGTTTTAATACTCAGCTCTCACTAGCTTGTGAGCTGAGCTCAAGTATTCTTCCTATCGACAAAATAAAATATTATGACAATGCGTATGAAGGTTGCACGAGGAGAACAGAACCGGAACTGCACACGATATATTTCTACCCTTCTCTCTTTGTAATGTAGGTGTCCACGATGAATGTGTTGTTATACACAACACCGCAGATGCCGTTGATAATATTTTAAACGAACAAAGGTATAGGGTTGAACGAAGGTACAGGTGTCGAGAAACTGGGAATATAAGAATTAAACTAGAGATGCACTAGGATATAATTGAGAATTATGGAGAGGTCTCAAGGAAATCTAATTCATGCCAAGTACAAATCGGCTGCACCTGTGGGGTGAGAGTAACTCGTGAGGTTCACTTCAAAGTAGCTGCATAGATGCTTGAAGGTGAAATCTGAAGCTGCTGCCAGAGAATCTTGTAGACTATACACGATCACAACCAAGTGTTAATTATAAAGGTTCTAGCCTTATTAGTGTCGATTTGTCATTGAACCCACCTTTATTCATGCTTTCGGCTAGGTCGTAAACATGGCACTCCTGTGTGTCATACCGTGCGCGTTGTGCGATGATATGTACTCGCTATATTATATCCGTGTGTGACAAGCTTGGTGTTTTTCTCCGGGGTGCCCCGCTCACCTTCGTCTATAATTACAATCTGCCAAATGGATTTCTGTCACACTTTCAGACACATTTCGTATGAAACGACATAGTAGTTCGAGCGTATCTCCCAGATTAATTTTAACCAAGAATTGGAATCGTGTACCACGCCCGCATGTACTGTTTCACGCTAGCACAAAAAATATATTAGTAATATATTTGAATACGCCAATTGTGGTACAGAATCTACATATAACTAATGTTTAAGAGTATACAAACTTCTTTCTTTTCTTCACTTGTGAAGGCTGTAATTATGGTACGCTTCTACTTTACTTGAAAATAGGCATAGTCTTCTTATTCTTTTTTCAAAAGGCTATGAAATGGGCTTTCTTTAAAAATAAGCATTGCCTTCAAGAAGGCTATGAAATAAGACAATTCAAAAATTCAAAATAGGCGGTGCAGACTGCAGAGTCAGACTGCAAGGAGCAGACTGTGCAGTGAACCAGTGGACCACAGTGGACCAATGGAAAAATGAGTATAGTGCTCCACAATCTGTATATAGTATTCATCAACGCCACTATTACTTGCTGTGTAGCATAGGGCTCCTATATTGATAATATATCATATGAATGTTTTATTTATTTAGTAGGCTATGATGTGAAACATCTTGTTTTAATATTTTTAAAAACAAATCTTAAAAAAACAATTAGCCGAGGAACGGAAACAAAAGAATAGTAAGGCATCACGAATTTCCTTTTCCGATGTTCAGAGAGCGCCATGGAAGATTGAACACATAAAATAATTGAGTCATTTCAAGAATTCAAGTACAACGGAATGGTTTTAATAAAACTATTTTGAAATGGTTTTATTTATACATTTTTATATCAAATATTACATCAAATTAATGAAATTTATTAAAACAAATAATGAATTTATCAGATGTAAGGTACAACAACTTCTGTAAATTTGATGCTTAGACTATGGAGTCATAATACAAGTAACACAACTGATAAAGGTCATAAAACTCACTTGCTTTTCAAATTTCAATCCTTTCTCTGGCAGACGTAGCAGCATTAGTAAATATTTTTTTCATCTTTTTCTAAACCCTTTTTTTAATAATTACTTTAGTTTCTAGATTGTTGATCTATTGGATAAAAAACGAGCATATTTTTAAAAACAAATTTATATCAAAACATTTCTGTTGTAAAAATTTGTAAATACAGTATTAACTATAAAGTCAGTGACAACATGATGCAAAAATTGCTTTTTTTTATTAAACAAGCATTGCTTTTAAATAAAATCAATATGTAATACCCTATTACATTGTTCTTTTTAAAAAAACAAATTAGGGACAGAAACTGTAGGCAGTAGGGACTAGGGAGTAGGGACTAGTAGGGAGTAGGGAATAATAATTTATGTATTTACAACGAAGGAAAATCTATTTGATTTTTAGTCTTAATAGGTTTATAAAAAATCAATAAAGAGCAATACACAAAATATTTCATAGTACAAATATGGCAAGCGTGTTTTCGATATTACTCAGCCTCTCTCTCTCTGAGTGAGCTAGTGAATACTACTCAATGACTCTGAATAGAGGGTACTTCTATTTATTTACTTCATATGAGTAATAGATTGAGTATTAATACTCTAGAACCAATTTGTGAGCATTGAAAAAAATTGAACATCTACAAACGTGTTTTCTTATTCTATAAAAAGCGATTATTGAGGGGTTGTGTCTGTGACTTGGTGAGTTGTGACCTAAGAGTCGGGCCCTAAGCACAATACGGTATGGGGGTATGAAATAGAAGTTGAACGTAATATACAATAAATTGCCGGGAATGTCTCTATACCACTTCAATGAATATAAAATTATTTACAGCCCTGTTTTTTCTTCTTCTGTAGGGTTTATATTCACACCGCGGTTTTACAGTGGAACATATGAGTATGTGCGCCACAAAATCCCTAAACCCTAAAAACCTTTACTCGGGGGTTAGGGTTTAGGGTTTTGTATTGAAAATGTATGGAGAGAGTATAAAATGCTGTAAACTTCGATGGAAATAA